ATTATATTTTAAAATCAAAGAACTACTAATCAGGATATAATTAAAGAAATAAGAGTTCATGTTGCTTTTAAAATATTTCACCAATTTCTCTAAAGGAAACACTATCTACAGATTTGCATCGAAGCGTTTTTTATGATAGTGATTTTAATCACTGTCAGATATCATCTATACTGGACCCAATTATGCCACGATCCCACTGTGCTGGGTTTTTTTTAAAAAGTTATAGCATCATAATGTTAAAAAATGTAAAATATAATATCAAAAATTTTTTCACAAAAATAGCATATTTTTGCATACGGTAGTCATTTTCACCATGAAGACAAGTCCAGACGTCAAATTTTTTTTTTCAAATTAAAGTATATTACATTATCTTTAATTTCAGATATATATATAAAAGTATCAGTCTTTCCGGAACATTTTCAAAAGTTAAGTTGAAAAAGTTAATTTTTTGTAAAAAAGTTACCATTTTGAAACCCCATCCTTTGGGCTGTTAAAGGGTCAAATGTTCACAAAAATATATAAAATGATAGGTAATTATCTAAGGTATCTATAAAAAAAAAAATTATATTGATTCGGTCATTTTTAAAAAAGTTATGGCAATTTTAAGTAAAAAAAATTGAAAAAATATCGAAAATTAGCGATTTTTAAATTTGTAATTTTTTGGGGGATTTCCCCCGTTTACGGGGAACGAGGGAATTTTTTTCAATTTTTGAGGGTAATGTCTTCGACTAGATACGATTTGTGATCTTTTGACATATTGTTCATCAAAATCGGTCCAGCGAGAGCTGAGATTGAGCGTTCACAGACACAAAAAAAAAAATAAAAAAAAAAAAATAAAAAAATAAACACATCATGGTAAAATTAATACCTTCTCAGCTTCGCATCGAAGCTAAAATTTGTCCCGGCGACCTATCTTCTATGCGCAAAAGGCTACCGTATTCAAAAATATGCTATTTTAACAAATTTTTTTTTTATAAATTAAACACTATCTACTGATTTGCATCGAAGCGTTTCTTATGATAGTGATTTTAATCACTGTCAGATATCATCTATACTGGACCCAATTATGCCACGATCCCACTGTGCTGGGTTTTTTTTAAAAAGTTATAGCATCATAATGTTAAAAAATGTAAAATATAATATCAAGAATTTTTTCACAAAAATAGCATATTTTTGCATACGGTAGTCATTTTCACCATGAAGACAAGTCCAGACGTAAATTTTTTTTTTTCAAATTAAAGTATATTACATTATCTTTAATTTCAGAGATATATATAAAAGTGTCAGTCTTTCCGGAACATTTTCAAAAGTTAAGTTGAAAAAGTTAATTTTTTGTAAAAAAGTTACCATTTTGAAACCCTTCCTGTGGTCTTGTAAAGGGTCAAATGTTCACAAAAATATATAAAATGATAGGTAGATATCTAAGGTATCTATGAAAAAAAATTTATATTGATTCAATCATTTTGAAAAAAGTTATGGCAATTTTAAGTAAAAAAAATTGAAAAAATATCGAAAATTAGCGATTTTTAAATTTGTAATTTTTTGGGGGATTTCCCCCGTTTACGGGGAACGAGGGAATTTTTTTCAAATTTTGAGGGTAATGTCTTCAACTAGATACGTTTTATGATCTTTTGACATATTTTTCATCAAATCGGTTCAGCGAGAGCTGAGATTCAGTGTATACAGACACAAAAAAAAATAACACATCATAGTAAAATTAATATCTTTTCAACTTCGCGTCAAAGCTAAAATGTATTGGATATAAGGTTGACGTTTGCTAAGTAGGTATTCCCCTTAGGCATATTTAGAAATTTTTGTTAAACAAAGCATTAATAGAGCAAAAGTTCAAACAAAAGATATATATATATATATATAACAATAAACATGATTAAATATTTCATCATATTTAAAAGAAATCGACAGAAAGTATCTTAATAAAAGTAAGCATACTTTGATTAAGACTTTTGATAAACTAAACATAATATATAAAAATAAAAAGATAGTTTTAACAATCAATTCACACATGACAACAATAACATTTATTAATAATAAATTGAATAGAAAATTAAATTGTCATAAAAATTCATATTTTACAAATTTAGAGTCACAATAAACATATGCGCGGAAATGAGTTAATGCCCATATTAAAACCATGCGCGTGAAAATTGAAAAAAGCTTGTAAAACAGTAAAAAATAAACGAATTGAATTGATTTTTTTATGATATCTCAGAAATGTCATTGGACGGGTATGGTAAAAATTTCAAACCTTAAGTCGTAAAACAGTCGCAGGTGAGCAGCAAAAATTGTCTAACCTTTGCAAATAATTTTCCCGAAGTCTCATAACAGAGTATTTTTGTTGAAAAAAAAAATTTTTGAAAATCTGATCACACTAAGTAATTTTTCCAGAAAAACGTTTTTTTCCTTATTTTATTGTATAAGATTTTTATAATAATGTAAGGAATTACTTGATTATTTTTTACTAGATTTTAAAAATTGTCAAAATCTCATTGGGAATATTTAGCAGCTAAAGAACCTCCTTTATTTGTTTCTATGATCCAATAACACTATAAGATTAATTTTTATTCTAGGAGTAAAAAAAAAAAAAAAAAAAACTAATAAATAAAAAATGTTTTGAGGCATAAACATTTTATTGTCCGAAACACCAAAAATTTTAAATACATTACCAGGCGCTAATATAACAATTTATGAGTTTAATTATATTGATTTATTCAATTTTATTTAAATAATACTTTTCAATGACTTAATTAGCTTAATTATTGGCTAATAGCCTTGAATCATTTTATAAACTTTTACTTAATAAAGTACATGCATAGTGTTATGATATTTAAGAATAATTTCTTTTAATTTTCATTATTTTAAATACTTGTTTTATAGAATGGTTGTGCCAATTGTGATAATATTATCAAAGGTACACCAGTAAAACAAGAAAATCTTGAATCCACTCCAAAAAATTTTTGCTCAGCGGCTTGTTTAAATAAACACCAAAGAAAAGAGCTAACAAAAAAATGTAAGTTAATAGATGCATAAAACAATAATTAATATTTATTTTTATTGTTAATACTAATAGTAAGTTATTTAATTAAGTTTAATAATAATCAAGTCTTCGACATTTAAAAAATTCAGATTATTTTAGTATCTATTTATAATATTGAACTTTACATAGTTTTATAATTTTTTGATTATTATTGTCATACTATTTGAAATTGTTTAAATTATGTGATAACGAGTAAAAAAAGTATCTTAAACATTAGCAAATAAACAAACTAGTTATTTATTTGTTAAAAATAATGCTGTATTCAGGTTTTCAATTTTTTTTTTAAATTACAGCTGTTTTTGGTGATGTTCAAGTGGAGCATCCGTTTTCCATTAATGGGAATCAAACATTCGACTGGGATAGTTATTTAAAAGAAACTAATAGCATAGCTGCTCCAAATTATTGTTTCAAGCAGGTAAGTTAAATGCCCTATAGAAAGTAGATTTATTTATAAAATTTTAGAATAATGAAAACATTTTTCACTTAATGGATTTCATTACTTGATAACTATTTCAAGGGTTATTGAATCAAACTATAAAATGACATTAAAAAAAAATTACTATTACTACTTCCCCCCTCCCACCATACTCTTGAATTTTTTAGCTTCGATTGCGATGCTGAGAAGGTATTAATTTTACTATGAAGTGTTTTTTTTTTTTTTTTTTTTTT